CGGGTTTGGTCAGCGTCCGTAGGCCTTTGTTTGCATCATTCAAAATCCGTTCCCGTTTGTCACCTTTGAACTTTACTGTTACTTTTTCAACATCTCTTTCAACTAGAAAGTCCAATATACTTGGTAATTCTTGAAGTAGACGTGTCCAACTAAATTACTTTGAACGAATCGTTTACAAGCGCACCAGCCGTGTTGTCTATCAATTTGGTTTATTAAATAACTTATTCAAGGTCTAATTGATTTGTGAATTCTGTTTTAAATTAGATCTTCACGAGAATTATATTTTTAAGTATCGTTTATGATACCTTGGTAACGGGCATTGTTTTTTGATAGTCACGCTCTCGGCCTCGATTCAGTCCCTTGTTGTTTGTCGGCTTGCATAGTATAACTAAGAGCTTTTATGCTGACCTCAACGTCTGTCCTATATCTCGGGGGCATGATGACACATTCGCTGCTATTTGACTACTCGGATTTTTTTTTTATGTAACCTTTAGACAATCTAAAAACTAACATTTTTTTTTTATAAAACCTTTATACAATCTAAGAACTAACATTTTCCATTTGAAAATCGTATAAATATGAAATGCAATTCCTTTTTAGTTTTAGCCGATAATAATATACAGAACTTTTCGTGAGCATGTGCTGAGATTTATAATATGGACGCGCCCAATGCGGAAACGCACTTAACGGAACATTTTTTGCTGTCGATAAATCTATGGGGTTCGAGAGTAAAGCTGCTTTTTACTTTAAGAGAACTAATTAACACAGATATCGGAAGTTTCGAATGATTCGGTTAATGTTATCCATTTTTTCTTCTCCTCAAATTAATGATCTTAATTGCTTACAGAGTATAGTTCCTTAGTTGGTAACGCTAATTTTGTTTTGAGATTTTCGGGAAACTGAAGAAAGTACTTGAACTAGAAAACATTTCAAAATATCAGATGTTAACATGACTCAATTGTAGCAAACTGGGTTTGTATTAACGGTACCAACTCTAATGGCTTGTTTCGTGTAGATTCTTGCGGTTACTATACTAATATATGAAGCGGAAGCTCAAACCAAATTGCTCTTTTTGTATATAGTTTTTTATTAGCACTACACAGTAGTAAAATTGCAATAGCTATATTCCATCATTTTACGACCTCCGTAGTCGAGTGGTTCGCACGCCGGTTTCAAGGTCTCACCATGTCTGAGGTCCCTTGTTCGATTCTCGGTCGGATCAATGTAGATAATGCACTTTTCTATATTGTCTCGGCTCTGACAAGTTTGGTACCTACCTGCCTTAGATATTTCATAATACGAGGGCTATAACTACTCAACTTGGAATCTGAGCAATGTATATGAGGTTTCCTAATGCTTTTATGTGTATATGTTCAATTAAATTGAATGGCGCCATTCAATCAAAGGGCTAGTCGCTCAATTGGTCGGCTGTTTTACCACTTGGCTGTGACATATATAATATATAGTTGTTGTATTTTCGAAAGAGAAAATAAATACCCGTGTGGTGTTTCAAAATAATTTATTTGTATAACAAATACTAATCATGTTAAGTAAACAGTTATGATCAGTCATTTGTAATTGTTAATTATAAAAAAAGTTAAAATATGTGAGAATTTGACACACAAACACACTTTGTTTTTAATTACTCTAAACCTTTACTACTTACTGCTTTGAATAACTTTTTTAAGAAACATTTGAAGTAGTAGAGATATACATAAACTTAAAGTGCTAATAATGAAATATTTATACGATAAAGGTACGGTTGATTCTACACATTATTAGTAACGCTAAAGTTACCAATAAACGCTCTCCATATCTTGAGTGATGGTATCCGCTTCAGAGAGATCAATTAATCAGCCTTATAATCTAGATCATAGTGGGGTGTAGAATGTCGTATTAGTAAGTGATTAATTAAGAGTATAGAAACGATTAAGTGCAAGAGGGTTCTTGTGAAGGTCTTAGTAAGTCAAGTTAACTCAAATAAAAATTATGAAAAATCCTATGCAAATATTAGTTGCTATTGAAAAGTAAGGAACTACCTATGTTGTTATGTATTTAATAATTTTATTAAAAGTTATTACGAATTATTTTCTTACATTTGCTTTTAACCATAACACTTCCGTATTATTTGTCAGCTATTTCAAGTTTTTAGATTTAACCCGCAACTAATTAAACAAAACATAACTTTAACACCAGAGTAAATGATTTTATTATTAAGCTTCAGACAAATAATAGCAATACAATACGCCCAGGCTTAAAAAAAATTCAATATACCTATCGTAGATCATAGAGATTTTCTTTATTTCTTTATTCTTAATACGAAAAATCATCTAGTTTGTTTCATGTCGAACAAAAGTGTAGAATTTTTATACTGGAAAAATTACACTTTATGTAATAATTATAAAAAAAACAAACTTTATGTAAAATTACATATGTAAAAGTAAACTTGAGGAAAAATTACACTTTATGTTATTTTTCAGAGGTGCATTGATATCTATCAATTCCTACTTTCCTTCCAATTTTCCAATTATTTGCCTCTATAATTTTTAAAAATATTTTTAACAAATATCAACTAGATTGTGAGTATAGCAACGCTTTTAGCAAATCATCTTTATTTATATATCATTTTTTGTACAGTCAATAGGTCACGCCTATTGACGTATATTGGAGAAAGTAGGCTCTCCGAAGAAAACCCTTAAGCCTAGACGGATGACAGATGACAGGTCCCTAATTAAGCTTACTGGAGAGTATAAATTATGTTCAAAACGTGAGAGAGTTTCCTTGTTCAATTAACCACGAACATTTGGGTCCGACATATTGACAGATTTGTTCTCTTTGATCGGGATCGCTTGATTGATAGTATCTTATGTTCATCTACATTATTATGATTTGTTTATATTATGGTTTTATAATAAATAAAATTAACGATAAATCTACCTTACAAGAAAATCTAATAGATATAAATAGGAATTTAATTTAATATAAAAAAAACTAATTAAATTAGCCTTCTATCTTATCGAAAATTTCATTCAGCTACTTTTTGCATCACTTTTATATCAAGGACATTATTTTCGTGTTAAAACTATAATTTAACTAGCTTCCCGCCACTGGTTTCACCCGCGGAGAACTGTATTATACATATAAACCTTTCCCTTGAATCTCTCTGCATATTGATGAAATCCGTTATGTAGATTAAAAGACATAGACAGCGTGATGCTACTTCGTTTTATACAGATATAGATACTAAAAATAATAAAATATGAATAAGCTTGAAAAACTTTTTAGACTACTCTGAAGTATATTAAAATTGCTATCATATTGCGATTTTAAACTTATATATTTAACTTTCTAGGCTTATAATCAATGTATTTCTTTATAATAACTCATGGGGACCGCCCGACCGGTCGACAAACCTGTATCTGTCTCTAGGAATCTCGCATGTCGTAGAGCCGGCTCCAAGGAAGTCTATAAGAACATCACTGGATGCCGTCTCATTTGAGTACTACTCAAGTTCTCAAACATTGTTTTCTTCGCTTTTTTTTTTGATAAGCAAAAAGTTTAAATGAAACTCGGCATTAATTTTATTATAATAGATTTATAAGATATAAGTTTTTAAACCTGGCTCTTTCTTAAGAAAATATTACTTTATCTTCGTAAAGAATTCTTTTTAAGAATTCTACGGAGACCGTTTACTAAAACTTATGTTGTTATCTATTTCTTTTTAACTTTTTAAATGTTTTTTAATGATGTCTAATTACCGATCTTAGCTCGCTATCGCTAGCTTAAAACAATCACCTATATTATAATAATTCTAAACGTTTATGTTACAATTCATTATTTATTTTATTTCATTTATTTATTTTTTTAATTTTATTTGTCTATTATTTTATCAAAATATACCTTTATCTGTGTTGTAACATAATAAATAAAATAGCATAAAATTATTGTGTAAACAAAACATCAACGTTAGAACGCTTTGAGAAAAACCTAGAGAAGTTGAAACATCCATGAAACCAAATTGATTGCATGTGCCGGTGTAATAAAAATAGAGTAAATATCTCCAAGACTTCTGTCTAAATTGTTTTTAGAACTACTCAATTTCGTTCGAAATAATATTTTAAATACTGTGTTAAACCTTTTTTCAATATTTAGTTTTTTTTCATTACTTAAGTTTTATTTACAACTTTGTGGTTATATATGACGCGGGAGGGATATAATTTATTTGCGATAAAGTTTACTCATGAAACAGTATCATAAAAACACGAAAATATTAAAACAAGACATTAAAATTGAAATAAAAATAGAATGTTATGTGATCAGTGAAAACGGAATATCTGTTTTATGAATATATGGTTAAGTTTCATATCATGTTTTTGGATTAACACGCGAAATATTATTGAAAGTTTAATAACTGTTTCGTTTTCATTACTCGTAATATTTACCTTCTGATCTTCGTTATAATATGCGGTAATGATATGCTTCAGTTATAGTATACTGATAACAGATTTACATAATATTTTAATTTTCATGAAATCAACTATCGTTATATAGCAAGAAAGGTTTATTATTTTAAGGGAATATAATTGACAACAATAATATCATCATGACATAAGAATAGTTCCAACAAACCACTGTTATTTACTTATAGAGATCACGTACAATTTATTTTAATGATAACTTATGCAAATTTTACCTTGTAAGTAATTTATTTAAATACTAACAACAGTACACATGTCGATAACTATTCAGCTGCATGTTTGTTATGTGTATTAATAATACTATTATTTACATTTAATTAGGCCAACGTGACTTAAATATCTTCTGATATTTGATGAAATACACATGACTATATTTAATGTAAGTTAATTTACTTGTTCTTTAAATCTTACATTTACTGCATTAGGACATATGTAACGATTTCTCAACACCTATGTAAGACAAGGAGAAAAGATATATGTGTACGCATTTATTATTCCATCTCGCAACCGAGCAACAAATTACCTAGATAATTTCTCAGAGGATAATAATTCGCGGAGCGCGTGAGAAAAATAACTCTGGTGGTGAACACTGGCACCATATCCCGCAGTTGTTTTGTATTTCTGTCTTTATTCTACACATTTGGTGTTTAATCTTAAAGCGGAATGTCTGTCATGCATTTAATTGGTTCCTAATAAAAATATATTTCTAACAGTTAAAAGAAATCGTACACAGACTTTTTAAGTTTGCAACTGATGCACTATTGTATTATTTAAATACTAATGTAATTGCAAAGTACTTATTTAATCTTATTGTCAAATCTGATATGCTATCTAAAGTTTTGAAAACTCACAATGATTTACGCATTGTTGATATTAAAATAAAATTTGTAACTAAACTCCAGTTCAATAATACGAGCATAATATTTTTAGGATATTAGATTTGGAATTTGGAACAGTTGATGGTTAATTTATTTTCTCTTTATTTACACAATAAACAATTATTACAATATAAAGTAGTATTGACATTTAATAACAAAAACATTGAGTGCCACTTAATGTTTTTTAAACAACTATAAATACTACTCAAATTTTTTTAATAAGCGAAATTAAAATTTAAAAATTTAATTCCTTAGATGGATTTAAAGAAGAAAACACTCTACTTTGATTTTCTAAACATGCATAAATTCCATCGCAAAGTGCACCTTCAGTCTCGAACACTTTCACAATAAGTAATAAGAGGTAAGCAGAATGGCAGAAAGTAGCTGCCTCGGAGTTGCACTGCCTTGAATCATGATTGTACACGTTTTAGTCACGGCGTCAATGCGGCACCGGCGTCGGTCCGCCGCTCGCGCAATACTCATGTTTCCATTCTCTATGTTTTGCTTTATTTACTACTAGTTCACCAATCATATTTTATTTTGCAGTCGTTTGCACTATACTATGGAAAGATGATGTCTGCATCAAAAATAAATAAATACTTTATCTCCAATGTTACTAACTTTACATTGAAGATAATACTTACGCGTGATGTTTGTTATTACATTCAGATATGTTGGAGTTTGTCTAAAGAAATATTATTATAATATCTTATATTTGTTGCTTGTCAATATTATTGATATGGAAGAGAGTTAGTATTTTCCTTTTACTTCCTTTTGAAGTAACATCATCCAAGTTGTTTATTAACTTTACTTAATCTTATAGAAGAAGTTTGTTTACTTAAGTATGAGTTCTAATTTTGTACATAAGTTCGGGAAATCTTCCTGATTCGCAGAATCAGTAACCTAGAAAAATATTGGTGAATGCTTTTATTTTCTTCGTGGAATATCACGATTTTATTTTCGATTGCTAATTATGTAGAATATGAAAATGCTCGTCGAAAATGTTTGATACGTCACACGACAAGGAACGGTTTCGAGTATTTGAGTTAACAACATTCGTTCCGCAAGCTCGGTTCTTTCGAGCCAGATTGCAACTGAGATCTCGTGTGCTCCTGCCCATATCTCGACATCCGGCACGTTATTTTGTATTTCTTCGAACGAGGTACAACGAACTTTAGACAAGTCCACTTCGCTTATATTCAGAATTATATTTACTTGAAATATAAATAATTTTGTTAGCAAGAACATACTTTCTTCGTGACCCGCTTGTAACAGTGAGTTAGAAAGATGTTTTTATATACAAACAAAATGAAAAAACCTCTCGCATCAGATTTACTTTAAAATATTACCTCATTTAATCTGATTTTAGAGCAGCTCTTTCCCGCGATTTCACCACGTAAATTATAGTCTAGCGTATGATGTCGCTTCCCATAGGAGAAAGAATTTTCATGATCGGATCAGTATATCCGAAAATTACTTTCTACAAACAAACAAAATGAGAAACTTTACCTTTTCATAATATTAGCATAGATTTAACCAAGTTATTCACGAAACGTACAATGTTCGTTAATTTAATTAAATGATCCATATGACGCCGGTTAATTGCGCACACCCGCCTATGTGGCGGCCTAGGGTGTCTCTAAATATATTCGCACGAACCACCACTCCCTGTTTGTGCAAACACATGCTGCCGTCTCTGTTGTTTGTGTACATTACTATATCTGTTTAACGACAGACAGTAATTGAATCCTTTTCCTTTTGCAGGTTTCTATCACCGTATAACTTTCATCTTTGATTATTAACTCGATGCACTTTTTTCGGTGTATCATTTTTTTAAATAAGATCAAGCAAGATCTATTTAGGTATTTCTAGTTTGTAATACGTACAAAATATTTAGATTAACCTTAACTTCTTACAGATAACTTACACATGTTTCCGAATATGTGTATAATTTATATATTTCTTAATAATAAATATGTAAAAGTGTATAATCTATCGTTTAGCTATTTCATATTCCGACCTCTTTTCATCGATTCGTTTCACGATATGATTGGTCGCTACAATCTTATCGCTTTATGATAAAACGTACTCTATGTGCTAACAAAACGATCAATAGTTTCTTTAGAACAATGAAACGTAAGGGTTTTTTTTAAATATTTATTATAATCAGTAAAACTAAATATGTTATATGAAAATCTCATTCCTAAAAGACTAAGTATACAAAGAAAAAAGAATTGAACTAGAGTTATTTTTTTTTGTTTGAGGATATCCCAATATCATTATTGTTGTATGTATCAGGCTTGTACTGTCTAACAAACGTAATGAAAGCCCGTACCTCATTATTAACTCAATTTACGGTTTAATCAACAGTTGCAAGGTGTGAAATGAAATCTCAGAGGGAACACGCAGGAAATAGTTCAAAGTGAAACGAATAGCTGCAATGAGGCGGCGAGAGTTAGCGAAGGCCAGGAGGCCATAACTCGGCGTGTATCCGCCTCGGGCAACTATGTCGAGTGCGCTGTCCACAGACTCGCCCACCGGCGGCGGTGACCAACCACGCCGTCGCTCTGTATTTTATGTGCCATTGTTTGAAAGTTTCGACAATTATCTACCCTTAACACCGGAAGAGAAAGAAGCTCTAATCTGCGGCCAAAACATCGACAATGTCTCAACTAAACCAAAAAGGCATAACATATCTGAAAGTCGATTACGAATTGCATCCCGTGGTGACTCATCTTTTACGGAAAGCGAGAGTGATATTAGCGTCTTTAGTCCTGAAAGACGATATCGTCGCCCGTTATCGTCGACAGTTAGCTCCAATGAAGCACTGACAAGGGTGGGCCAGCGTGATTTGATAAGTCCACGCCTCGTAGCCGAAAACAATATGAGACCCACAAGACCAAGGTTACGTTGTACGACGTCATGTGAGCCTAGATATGATAGAATATTTTCCCCTGTAGGATCGATCTCAACTAACAAACTTAATAGTTCTACTTCCAATATCGGAAGCAGAATAGCATGTAAGAGCTTAATGCAAAATTCAAACTTATCTTTAATACCAGATTCACCTAAACTTTTGTCACCTGGTAAGGAAAAATCGAAAACATTGCCACAAAATCTCACAGTGCCATCGCCTATTAGAGGCAGCAGTAGTTCTACGTCTATCTTTAGAACGCCTAGAATAACAGTTACTCCAGATAGCCCGAACAAAAGTGTCGGGAAGATATCTGGATTAAATTTCATTCGACGTTCTCGAAGCACTAAACTATCAAGAAGTAACTCTCTGTTGCGGAGTATAACAGCAAGGCACATAGAGGAAGGTCTTGAAGATCAAGTAGCAGTAGTTACAGACCTTACCGAAAACTACGACAAATTTATAGATGAAAACGGTGGTGAAACTGAGGTGATTGGAGCTCTGATAAAGAAGCACGAAGCTCAGGTGGCAAATAGTCCGCTAAGTATCCGACGTGGATATTTGGATGTTGACGATGATGTCGCCGTTCATTCTGGTAAGATAATACAGTTTTCTGTTACATCATAAATGGTTTTATAATCTACATTTAGTTCTTACAAATGGAAAATTAATTATATACAGCGATTCTAAATCTTATATCTACATAGATATATAATAATATTTGTGATGTCATATAACATAAGTAATGAATTAGCTGATTGAGTTCATACAAATTATAATTATTTCGATTGTCGTAAGGTAAAATTCCTTCTGAGTATGTTCTTAATCTTAAATTTTATTAAGTATCATTATTAGTAATGAGATGCAAGTATTACGTATTTATAGCATAAACTTGCAAAGCACTCGCATTAATACCAAGCTGCCTAATGCTAGTGAGTCAGCATTTTGGAGTCACATTATGTTTTGCTATTCATATCGTTAAACAATGCTAGTTAATTATACGGCTAGAAATGAACGTTGAATTGGATCCCTTACGAACAGAATGTTATGTCTTCGAGTGTTATTATGAAAACTGGATGTCATCTTGTATTTGCGTTTGTAATAAATAACAATAGTGGATGATACACATCGACAAGAATCCCCATTTCAACCCTAACTTATATATTTCGGACTTATAATTCTTAGTGTCTTTTTTTCTATCTAGTTAAAGATCTGCAAAACCTGCCTGATGCAATAATACTCTATTATACTTTTGTCTAGTTAATTTTATTTGAACATTCTCATAAGTATTAAAAACCGATGTAAACACTAAAGGTACATACCAGGTATTCAAGTAATTATTTAATGGTTTTCTCACAAACCGCCAACAGAGTTACGGAGCAACTGCCTGTATAAACTTTTACTGATATCGACTAAAAATAACGGTATTGGTTTGAACATCTGTTACGTTCGCATGCTGTAATACGAACTGTGAATGCATTGTTTCGGCCTCAGAATAGAAAAAAAAAACTACCTTCTGTTACTTAAACCATATTTGACGTTATAAAGCGTTCGTTTTCTTAATAGAAAATAACGGAAAATAAGCAGTAACTTATTTTTATTATAACAATTTAGTAAAAACTCACAAAAGCAATATTTTTCTTGGAAACGTTACTCGTTGGTTACCGTGGTCGATACCATACACAGTCTTTGTTAATGATTGGAGGCAATTTCAAGTAATTTTAATAATTCTCTTCTTAGTTTTACTGAGGAGTAATTAATCCTCCAAGCATGTTCAACTTTTTTGTGTGCCAAATTAGTAACGTAGTAGTGCGTGGGGTTTGACCTGGCGGGCTCCTTGCTGGATTCTGGGTACTACCCCCGGAGGGTACTCGCAGCGGGTTTTACCGGGTAGGCCGGCCTCGCTTTAGCCTGTCCAATTCAGGATGGGTGCAGAGTCGAAAAGCCCTGATTTAAGGAATAAGGTTGCATTTCCCTTGCGTTATAAAAAGAAGTGACATAGTCGTGCGCCCGCGCAGCGGTCACGGGCGGCGTGCTCGCAACTTCCGCCGGAAACCACGCCATACACACGGTTGGCTAATACATACATTCAATAAGTTTATACATATAGGTAGCCGATATGTCGACAATGCATGCAATATGATACGAGTAATTGACGTTGTTATTGAGGCGTTCATTTCTCACAAGGTTACTTCTAAATCGGACTGAATTGACAATCATAAAGCTAAACTAGAAAATGAATATGTCAAGAAAAAAAGTGAAAGGAGTTCTTAAAATAAAAACATAATAGGTACATGTTACATACATTAAACATGAATTTTAGTTTACTACAGCAGATTTAATACGTTTAGTTTCGAAATATAAAATTGAAGAATTCATATTTTATGGTCTGCTAAAAGTAAAGTCCTGTGCTTGATTTTAATTAAGTTCACTTGGAGAACTTTCTGACACGGTATTGTGATTTCCATAATGCAAACAAAGGTCAAGGTATAAAACCACACAGCGGGAGTAATATCAATTTATGTTGTTCTCTATTTATTGAAACTTACATATTTTTTACAGATACATCATATGAGAAGGCGTGTCGGCGTGGTTCAGCACCCAGCACTCCGGTGCCGGGTGCGCAGGCGCAGCATAGTCCGTCAAGGCTGGCATCTTTCTTCTTCTCCAAACGCTCCTTTAGAAGCAATCCCCTCAAGAGGACCAAATCCGCCACCAAGTTAGAAAGAGAGCGAGCGCTAGCTGCTGTGCCAACTCATCCACCATCACATGCTTTAAGAACATCAAGGTAATTTCAACGACGAATGCTTGTTAGTCTTCGTTATAACTTTGTAAGACAATAAGCACGTCGGATTCATGACACAAATTTGTATTGAATAAATTAATAATATAGACATCTTAATTGCTGCCTCCAGGGCCTGATTAACCCTTAGATTTATAAGGCCTAGGGTCGGTCGACCAGTGGACGCTGTACACTTAATATACGGCAAACACGAAACCAAATTTCGTATGTGATTTAATTTAAAACTATTGCAATTTTTATTGATGAAACTAAATTTAGCATTGCAAACATTAGCCGAGTTTGATTTCAGTTATTCGATATTTTTTTATCAGACATGACATGTGAAACACAAGTAAAACACACGACAGGGGTTGACGTAATTAGCTTAGGGCGATTCAAAACTCTCGATCAGGCGCTGGCTGCCTCTCAAGTCGAATACAAAATAGAGGATATAGTATTAGCTTGTAGCTCCTTATTCTATTTAAATTGCGATTAGGGAATTATATTAAAGAAAAAGCGGTTTAAAAATGTCTCTAATATAATTCATTAAAGTGATTTTGCATGGAAAAGTATATCTTTGAACTTTAAATAAGACGTACTTATATATACTTGTATTACTGAAGATAGACGTTGATGGTAGGTATTATTAGTGTTTTATTTAACTATTATGCTATCTAACTGGAAGATGATTGTTAATGATATATTATTTTTAATGACAAGAGAACTATGAAGGGACATGTTATAGCGCAATAAAGTTCTTACTCTTACTAGTTAATTTGAAACGACTTCCATCTAAAAGTTATTAGTTGTTTGAAGAAGAGATTCCTGTTACTTACTACTGCTATTAAAATTAACGAAGCTAAAAACAGTTTTCGGGAAATAGGTTATGTGCCGGGCAACATGTTTATAAATTATGGTTTACCATTTCTCTATATACTATTTCCAAAACTGTACTAGGCATATGTTCTACAGTGGTTTGATAACACTAAATGATATTCGTATCTTGTCTAAACTCTTGGAGTAATTTTTTATGTGATTATTTATGAAACAAAACAAGGATAATTTCTTATCGGTTCTTAAAGATAAAATGGTAAACCAAAGTTTAACATTTTCAGAAAAACTGAAAGTTTTATTATCGAACAGAACAACAATAACGGATCAAATAGTTAATCCTAAAAATTAACACGTAAACTAGGGCTGGGCATGCATTTCCCATTTTTGCAGTTCATAGTTTTACTACGTATATAAAGCAAATGTGTATATTAGAAAATATTACCTGTGGATGAGCGATATGCCGTGACTACATCGCGTTAGTATAGCAGTTGTCAGGAGCGTCGTCGCCCCGCCCCGTCTGCCCAACACTAATTACTTTACTGACACGAAGTAACTTTATTGAGAACTAGTAATTAATTTAGAATTTATTTGACATGACATTCCATAGGGCATTGGATCGACAGGTTGTTGATGCTTTTAAGTTATTGTGATATTTATACCAATATTTATATTTTCTTTTGTTTTTAATCACCTAGTATTTTTTTGTAACTGAAATTGCATTAATTAAATTAATATTTTGTTATTTTTTCAGATCTCATGAAAGTTTACTGTCAGCACACTCGCCTGCAGTTTCAACGATGGACTTAGGACCGCCAAATCAAGTATGTCTTACATAATTAGTATTTTGTGGTACTCATTCATTCAATCATTTAATTAACAACGCTTGAATGGTTTCCAAAGCCCAATAAGGGTTGAGCTACATTTATCATCAGCGTATCGCCTCGAGAATTACACGGCTTGCTATCGCATATCCGCTATTTTCCTCGCTCTAGCAAATGGCATTTCTAAGCGACAGAAAAGAATAGAGCGGTCGAAAAAGTCGGTACCTTGCTGTTAGATGCAGCTCCACTCTTTATTTTAGTGTTATACCAAACTAAAACTACAATCACATGTTTATTGCAAAACTTTAGCTGTTTTTGTTGGCAGTAATCAAATAGATTTTTACTGGACCTACTGGATTGTCTGAGCTCTATATTAATAAGGCATGAATGCAAAATGTATCAAATATAATGTTTTGATTTGAAGGTTGAGATTCGCGCCCTCCACTCGTCCGTACTGGGGAGACCACACTGCTTCGCGTTGAGTGCCGAGAACCGCGCGCCACGATACTTCGCCTGTGCCTCGAGAAAAGAGCGGGACCGTTGGATATACAGGTGAATATAAATGTAGCCATATTCATAGTCCATCTATAAAGAAATAAAAAAGAACGAAATCGTAGAGTCTGAAGTGTTATTCTGTTAAAATATGAGGTCGAAGCGCTACTTCTAAGCTTTAATCAAATAAATTCGAATCTTGATGATGAACTTTTGATAGAATACTAAACCTGATATCTGTACATGTGATATACCACACTAATCTATATTGCATCATATAGTACTTGTCAAGTTAGGCTTCACATATTATGGTATATGTATATGGAAAATTCTCGGCGGATTATCTCAGAAGCTCATTTCATCTATTATGTGGAAATTAAGCAACTTTCTCAAGGGCCAACTATTGGATGGCTAACCAAAAATTACCTTAAGCGCCCCCGTGGTTTGGAAGGCACGTTTAACCGTTCTCCCGAATCCATCTGCAGTAATCAATGTTAATACCACTGGTATTGGTTGCTGTTCCCATTCTCCTTATTAAAATCTATACATAGAAAAAGCCTGTACTCCAGCAATGGGGGCATCATAAGCCGGTTATGACTTTTATTTATCATCAACACCAACCAGTAAATGTCCCCACTGTTAGGGTTCCCCACCTTAGGGAATGGAGTCGAATCGAAGAGGGAGAATGGGCCATGATACGCACCACGCCGTGCAGATTTCGAGATAATAAATTTTAGGTCACCCGTCGTATGACCGGTCATTGTAAAAGTGGCTTAACAACCGTATCTCCTCCAACTGGAGCTTCCAACTCTTATACTAAATGAACATATATTTTTTACAGTTTGCGGCAAGCAGCGCGGCCGGATGAAATGCGCACGCGCCGTTGTGAGCGATCTGTGAAACTTTGGCTACTAGAGGCAAAATCTATACCACCCAAGAAAAGATACTATTGTGAGATTCTTCTCGACGACACCCTCTATGCAAGGTGACTATCATTAAAAAATATTTTCTTCACAAGTTATGACGTTAATAAATTAGAAAATGTATTAATCTTAACTATAAGTAAAAATAGTTAAGATTAATTAATAAGATATTAAAAAGATCAATATGTACGTACATTACTATTTTCACAAAATACTTGGTCATAATGTTCAATTTTTGTTTTATGCAAATATTTACTTATCGCTAGGATAGGTCTTTTAAGGCAAATTGAGTAATATCTGCATCATTATTAGTTGACCATTTGTTATATGCTAATGATTGTTATTCACGATTTCTAGATCATCGTCGAAGTTGAAGACTGAGCTGTGTTTTTGGGGCGAGGTGTATGAGTTCAGCGGATTGCCACCGACGCGAGTGATACTCGTTAATGTATATAGGGAGCCTGAGAGGCGCTCACGGAAGCGCGACAAGCACGCCCTCGTCGGTAAGTAGTAATTTTCGTGTAAATACATATTTTTTTATGACAAAAACATTTTTTGACAAATTAAAATTGGTATATAATAAATTTCACGTAAATAAATCTTCACTTATACGCTTCGAAGTTTTAAGTAAATTACATTTTCTAAGCTCCATTCGCGCATTTTTATGTAGTTTTAATGTTTTTCTGGCGAAATATATGTTTCTTAAAGGTATGATTTCTGGGTTTTTGTCAGGTACGGTCAGCTCTAAATGTACTCTACCAGTCTTGACAAAAGTGTCTGTTAGATATTAATATCGCTATGGTTAATTTTTCTAGAAGTGTTTAGATAAGTGTATGGCTTTTAAATAAACCTAAACTGTAGGGTAGTATAACGTATTTTGACCAACAAGACTCATGCAGGATTAAAATATTTTTTCCAAAATAGCCAGCATCCCTACTTTGTTTGCTAGATTTCATACTTCAATTTGTGGCGTATATCGTGAAGGCCACACCAATGTGTATAATATTTAAAACCTAATTACACCTGTTTGTATGTTATCACTAGATAATAAAAATATCAAAGTAGTATTTTTAGATAAGTGTGTTATTGTAATTAGGGTGTGACTGGATTACTATCATTTTATCGTATCAACATATATTATAAAAACAAAAACAATCTGCTTAAGTGTATATCTTTCATGTCATGTCAGGTGTATTTCATAAAATTAAAAATTAATCAAACTTTAAACAAAACAAAGTGAGTTGTGATCTGAAAACATAATTCAAGACTGTCTTATATCATCTATATTATCTTCATGACTTATTAAAAGAAAAAAGATAAATAATATACCTGAAAGATTTGTATGGATGGATTCTCTGTGTTCATCATTTGCAATCATGATTTTTAAGAGTAAATTATTTTTTACTGTATTATTAACATGGTTTTTTCTATTCCACCATTATCCCTCGTTACAACATGAAGTAACGTAAGAATCACTCATCTTTAATTAGTACAAAAATCTGCATCTAGTTAGTTCTTCTCCTTTCTATTTGTCTTTCAATTTTTACGTGCTAAATGATGCTTTTAATAACATTTCCATTTGGTTCTTTGTATATTAAAAACACTTATCTATTCTTTCATTATTACTAGTATCTACATTGCTCCTTCTCTGACCAACTTATTTCTTCTCTTCAAACATCAATTCAACCTATATTTAATATCCCATTCCACCTTTTCTATTGTAACTGTTTTAATATGTATATGCTATTATCCAGTGCATTAGTTTTATATTCAACTAATCCATTCTTTACTATCGCATCGAACAATTTTTATCCGTACACTCCCAAGAAACGTATCTCTCTACTGTGTTATCTACATCTTTTTCTACTATTCCCTGTTATTGATGAGTCTTCTGTTTTCGACTAATATCAATACTTCATTGGTTTTCTTTGCTGTCCAAATTTCTTATATTCCAACAATTTATTTTTTTTTACTATCCAGTATCTATTTATCTGGGTTTGCGTATTTATATTACTTTAGTTTATTATATGTCTGGCTTCAAGCTTGAATTTGTTTAAATGTTTTTGTCTATTGTGGCCGAATGTCCAATACTCATGATCCAAAGTGTACTCAAAAGTAGTGATTGTGGTTCTGAATAAAGAAATCTTTTTCTTTATTCAGAACCAAAAACACTACTTTTTTTTTCTTATCTACGTGGTGCTGAAGATAAGTAAGTTTATTGTTCTGAATAAAGAAATCTTTTTCTTTATTCAGAACCAAAAACACTACTTTTTTTTTCTTATCTACGTGGTGCTGAAGATAAGTTTATTGTTTAGGCACAGTGCGTATACCGGTCGACGACGTATCGTCTAGATACCTCAACGAGCGGTGGTACCCACTGTCGGAGGGTGATAAGCCTCAGTCGCCTGGTGGCCGCGCCCCTCCGCCCCCCGCGCCCGCGCTCCGCATTAAGTGCCGCTACCAGAGTGTAGACGTGCTGCCGTTGGATAACTACGCCAGATTTCTAGACTACCTCAAGAGGAATTACAGGCGGCTTTGCGAGTACCTGGAACCTGTTATAGGTGAGACAGTTCTTAGTAGACAAATGAAGATTTGGTTATAATTATGTTCTAGACTACTTTAATATTTATGTTTTGATTAACATAAGTACATTTATGATATCATATCAATACTGTAATTTTTAGACTAGTCACTTACCTACGCCATAATTGAGATGACCTTATCTGATGTTTGTTTTTCAAGGATTAAAAGAAATTAGACTAGTGAACGAAACGACACATATTGCATTGATCTAAAGTCAAGATACTTTAGACATTGCAATATGTGTCGTCTATTTTTTATAATATTCATTTATTTAAATACTATTTAAGAGTAGCTGGGTGGCGTAGTGAATAAGCGCCGCGGCCCGCGATCGTTGTCGCTAAGCAACTTTCGCAAGGTTCGGTCACGGGATGGGTGACCAAAAAAATTATTATCTCGAGCTACTCCGTGCTTCGGAAGGTCCCGGCTGCATTTGCAGTCGTTAATATGGAGGGTATCCGCATTGGGCCAGCGTGAAGGCTCATGGGCCATCCTCCTTAACCATCCAAAAGGAAGGCCTGAGCCCCTACAGTGGGGACGTAACAGGACTATTGATGATGATGATTTAAATACATATATTGTTTCCAGGAGTGAAAGCGAAGGAAGATATAGGTTGCGCACTAGTCCTATGCATGGCAGGCGCTGGTCTCGCGCCTCGTTACCTCGCGGACGTAGTGGCGCTGGACGTGCGACGTACTGGCGACCACTCGCTCACATTCCGAGGGAACTCACTCGCCACCAAGAGTATGGAGGCTTATCTCAAGCTTGTGGGAGACCAGTATCTGCAGGTGAACTATTTTGAGATTTTTTTTTTTATTTATAAGAAGTTTATCGTTATTTAATTTTTAAGTAGTTTGTAACGACGAAAGAGCCATAGGTCTATACTAATTTTATCAAGAGGAAAGATTTGATTATATATTTCCATTAAATGGGCTACAGTACAGATAATAAAAAAATCTTTTACATACAGAGGATGACATCCATACAAATATTATAAATTGTAAAAGTTAAATGGGTTGAAATAAGAGGTCAAAATTTGTATGAAATTATGTCATCTTCGAACATAAAAATATGAGACTTTACATTAAGGTACTGGATAGGAAGTAAATAAATATTTGTAGTAGAATTTTGGAAATGGAAAAGTTAATAACAGCTAATATTATGCAGGTAAAAGTTTGTAGGTTTGTATATTTATTACTTCTTCATGCAAAATACTACTGAACGAATTTTGATGTAATTTAGTACATCAATATTCGGTCAGTAGGGCACCATTCAGTGTAACTTTCTGTAATGGTGCCCTAGGGATAAAAGTACCGTGAATCTACGCGTAAAAAGCCGCTGGCGGAAAGCTAGCCCTTAATATGTTTATTGTATTCCCTCTCGCGCTCTCTCTCACACGCACGCACACACACACACACACACACACACACACACACACACACACACACACACACACACACACACACACACACACACACACATTTTCATATAATACCGAGAGGTTCATAATAAACACATAGAAATAAAAGAGTCATGGCACTGTCTGCTGAAGTACAGCGTCATCCTAGCTCGGCAATGGAGGCTATTACACATTTTTTTCTTTAATAATAAAAATATGTGCAGTAGCACGTGTTTAATGAATTATGAATAATAAGTATGTGTATTGCAGGACACGCTCGGCGAGGCGGTGGCGGCGGCGGCGGGCGCGGGCGCGGCCGAGTGCGAGGTGGACCCGCAGCGCGCGGGCGGCGGCACCGCGCTGCGCCGCCAGCAGGCCGCGCTGCGGGACGCCGTCTCGCTCGCCTGGCGGGCCATTGCCGCCTCCGCGCCCGCGTTCCCGCCACCGCTAAGGGACTGCTTCGCCACATTCAGAGAGAGGTGCGCATTACTACTATTCATTCAGCCAGTTGCACAAACGTCCATTAAATTTTTAAATTAAAACGACATTACCCATAGAAATTTGTCATTCATTAGAGCTTAAATGCGTCCTTAAACCTCAATGGACGTTTGTGCAACTGACCAATTGACCTTCGGAGAGATGTACGCACTACTTGATGCAACAAGCGACGTGTTGCCGAATACGGCGTTCTACTCTAAACAAAATAAATATGTACCTATCTGATGTCATCCCTTATAGTTCGCATGAAAGTAAACATCTGATGGCGGATTAAAATAAAAAAGTGTGTAATCGATAGTTGTAATAATTAACAAATTATTATATATGACGGCGGGTAGTCAGAAGGGGCTATAACGAAGCCCAAATAGATCGTCCATATCGGAGGACTATCTTTAAATTAACACTGCAGGCGTGTATACCAATGTGGATTTATTCCATTTTATCACTTTTCATACGAAAGTATAACGAGATGAGCGTGATGTCGTCGGGTGTCTTTACTCCTCGGCGATCGAAAACAGAATTCGTGCCAAAATGGCGGCAACTAGCTTTTCATTAACTTACTGTCAGTGTTACCATTCTAATTAAATTAAAAGTATTTATGATCACACCATCTGTACAATCGAGTAATTAAGTAATCGAATAACTAATAAAAAAACAAAAACTAAATCAAACGATGATGGCGATATTCTGCGACATATATATTTTTAATTATCAATATATAACCATTACAATCGACGTATAAAAGACGTATGTTTCTAAAGTAAAAAATCAATAATCACGCGTTTGACAGTAGCATACTTTCTTCCGAGCCATTTTTTCTCCCGATCTACACACGATATTGATTTTTTTTATGAAAATATTATTTCACTGATTACTGAGATTACTGAAAAAAGACATTTATATTTTTATTGATATATACAAATAGATACAAAAAGATCTTTGTTTTTGCTCAACAGATTGACGTCAATGGGTCGAGAAGACATCTCCGATAACTTGATCAGCGCCTCGATTTTCCTCCGTTTCCTGTGTCCCGCTATACTTTCGCCAAGTCTTTTTGGAATAACACATGGCAAGTATATTCTTTTTTTTTATTTAAATAATGTTGATACCATTTCTGAAGTGCAAATAAAGTGTGATAGCTAAATTCGTTTAAAAATTACATAGTTACTTGCAGGTGGCATGAATGGATTAGGTGAATACAAATGATACCAAATTATTAAAAATTTATTCTAGTCTTGAAATAGATTATTAGGACCTATAAAAAGTAAATAGTCTCGGAAAAAACTATTGTATCGATTCTAGTGCCATACAATCGTTAATACCCTTAGGGTTATCATTCGATTCCTCTGTCTTATGTCTATAAAGAAACAATAGGATATTAATGGACTGGTGCTGATGATGGATTATTTGTTTATTATACAGAATACCCGAACGAGCGTGCAGCACGAAACCTTACGTTAGTGGCAAAGACGCTGCAGACGTTAGCAAACTTCACTCGGTTCCAGGGTAAAGAAGCTTTTATGGAATTCCTTAACGACTTCCTCGAGCAAGAGGCACCTAACATGAAAGCATTCTTGAGAGCTATTTCGGTAAGTAAAGCATAAAAACTTTTTATGGTTAAGAATCAATTCAGGCAATTTGTAGACAGTATCTGATTATGCAATTCTTAATATATTTTTGAATAAAAAAATAACTAAATTTTATTCGTATTTGTCTTTTTCAAATTGTCATAATAACTATAGTTTGGTTTAGGTCAGAGATCGGTACAACATAATCGGTACCACTATTCTTTACTAATAAGCTTTATGCTGTTATAATAAACTTATATAGGCAATCATATCTCCAAAACTATGGGTTTAGCTACGCTATGACGTTCTCATATAATTAAATTCCAATAAAGTTTACAAGTTTGATTCTCCAATCAAATATTTCCAATAGTCGTCCAGCACTACAAAGATTAAGTCTAAAGCTAATTTACAGACGCGACCTCAAGAGCAGCATCAAAATCAACACCAGTACCAACAGCAGCAGCAACAGCAGCATCAGCAGCAGCAAGATGGCAGTAACCGCAACTCGGCAGCGTCGCAGGGATCTGGCGGCGGCTCCGAGGGCTCCAGGAGTGAGGCGTGCGTGGAAGCGGATCCGGAGTGGGCGCCCCACGTGGATTTAGGGAAGCAATTGGCAACGTTACACGCACTTCTAGTGGACAGCTTGCCTAAGTTACCCACTGCCAGGATTCAGGTATTGATCATAGTCACCAAAGTTTATCAAATAATTTTGCATTATTATAAAAAAAAGAAAAAAATATATTAATATCCCCACGGCTGAGGCTTCAAGCCTTCCCTATGGATAGAATTAAATCAGATCTAAAGGAGAGAATGGGCTATGAGCCACCACGCGTGGCCAGTGCGAATTGGTGGGCATTAACGACTGCAGATGCAGCCGGGACCAACGGCTTAACATATCGAAGCAAGGAGTTCGGGTTAGTAAACTTTTGGTCACCCATCCTTAAGCCGGCCATTGCGAAAGATCCTTAACAACCGAATCGCAGACTGAGCACGATAGCCACTACGCCATCGAGTGCCATATGGACATAGCAGAAGTCAAAACGATCGGGCCTCACTGCGCTCAAATTTACACAAAATCATTGAATAGATATTTAGTATGTAAATAAAATGCAATAAATAAATAACAAATATACATATACGCCCAGTAGTGGGCGTCTCTCGGCTGAAATGATGATGATGATGATACATATAGATTTAATGATTTCGTAGTCACCGTTGCATCAAAGATATTATAATGCTATATATACTAAAGGAATAACTTAAGTAGTGCCGAATGAGAAGTTCCCATTTTCCCGTTAAAAAAAAAGTGATAATAATAAACTATTAAAAATACATTTCTATAGCAATCTTCGTTTACTGACCATAGTTCTATTTTAAACGTTTTTAAGCTTTTTTTACCATGCTTATTTTCAAAAACTACGGAATTCAGATTACTTTATTTGACGTTATTTGGAAATACATATTAGATAACGTCAAAGTAAGAAATGTTTGACGGTAGAGTAAAAATTCAGGTATCATTAAAAAATTATTTTTCATTGTTTTTAGGAACTGGACCCTTTGTCTGATATCTTGGATGAACTAAGCAAGAGATTGGTGAACAACGATTATGGACCATTACCTCAACACACAGATAATATATTTAGGTTTGTTAATAAAAATATCTATTATAATAATTTCCTCATAACTGTATACTCACTATACGTCATTTTATACAAAACTGAAAAAAAATCCAATCTGATTTAAACCTTGTTACATTGAGGGAATAATACAAAATCAATTGAGTTAATTTGAAATATTGTGATAGTCTGACATGCAACTTAATATTTTAGTACACGCTGTCACACTGTTTCCTGGCCCAGCTAAGACTTGGAACGTGTACACAGATTATAGAAAATGAATGATATATTTCAAAAATATTATAATTTGAAAAAGTTACCCAACGTCACAAAATGAATTAAATTAAAATAAATAATATTATGGTTTTTATAAAAAAAAATGAAATAGTATAAATGCTCAGTGTAAAGCTATAGTCGTGGAAAAGCTTTTCTTTTACTGACTTAAAATTTAACATAAAATGTATAATGTATAGTTAGGTAAATGCTTATTTACATGCAATTTCCTGAAATACTATTAAAAAAATGTCCCGTTGTGGATCTATATTCTAATATAAAAGTACCAAATGGAACTTGTTGCGGATGAAGAAACAGTCTTACGACATGGAAAATGTCCGTAATTCCCATAAAAGTTGCCAAGGATAAATTTAAAATGTACACAATGCGTTTATGTTAAATGTTTATAAAAATACAATTTAAACATAATAAGATAATAACTTAAAAATATGTTTCAATAAAAATGTAATACCCAAATATAGAAAATATATCAAAGAATTTGGTTACTAAAGCTTGCCGCTGCAGCCAAAGAGCTATTAAAATATTTATGTATATAAATGTATGGATCTGTAAATAGAAATATTTTTTAATTAATTAATTATGATCTTTACAAATATTTTTAACACCCATTAAGTTAATATAATTTCATGCTAATGCATATTTTGAAAACAAAAATGATAAAATGTATCCAAACGAAAGTGTGAAAATGCGCGGCATGCCAATAAATTACAAAAAATAACGTTGTATAACAATAAAAAATGCAACGTCACGACGAGTACTAATAAGGAAACCTAATAATCATGTTTATTTCAATTTTAGGTTCAACGATCCAACGTGTAATACGCCAGCAAAACAAAATAATCCCGAAGTTCCTACAAACGGATTGAACAGTAATTTTGCTCACAGTTCACCAATAATGAATAAAAATGGCGTCCAGTTTAATATCAGTCCCTCAAAGTCAAACGCCGAAGAATCTAAGTACAAAGCATCTTATATCGGTGTCTCGAAATCACCGAGTTTCAATTTACGATCGGCGACACTTCCAAGGAATGGTTATGGATCGAACCCAGTGAACCAAAACGTAAATCCTGACCGTTACAGCTCACAATATAATAATCAAGAGCATTGTGTTAATCTCAAAGTGGTACAAATAGGATTTGGCACCGACCAATATCAAAAAGGAATCGGCAACGGTATCAACGAAAGCTTAGAGCGACGATTTCAAGAAAGGTATAAACCTAACAATTGTAATCAACAAAATCATTATAACGCTAACTATAACAACACAGAAAGATCACCTAGCAGCGATAGTATTAACCACAATTACTGCTCTAATGACATGCAAACCATCATGAAAGAAACTGCAACATTAGATGAGTTATCTGATTTACTAAAGTATGCCGACGATTCTGACATAGTTGAGGATAAGCTTATTATGAACAAAAAAAACTTAGTGCAATCCAAATCCACTAACAATAATATAATCAATGGAAATAAAAATAATTACACAAATAATGGTTCAAACGTTTCAATCAGCGGTTTATCGAATGTCGCGAGTTCTGGGTACCAAAGTATTGCAACATACAGCCAAAGTTCTAGCCCCATTGAAAACACGACGCATCACCATCAACCGTATGAAAACGGTGGTCAGCCAATGAGCCGTTACTCACAGCTAAACTACCAAAAACAGAGGGAAAAACAGTATTATGATAGTAAAAATGAAAAATTCTATCCAAAGAGCCCAGTGCAACAGAAAATCGATTATGATATTCAGAAGTATGGAATCCAAAATTTTACAACAGCGGAAAATACACAGACAAATGCAAATATGAATTCAAAAGTAGTTCCATTAGTATTCACAAATCCAGTTTACAACATGGAAGACAATCGTCCACCTCAAGAGAAGAAGAAAAATAACAACGAGAATAGAAATTCGAAGCGTTGTCCATGTGGCTCATCCAGTTCATCCATAGATGAGGAGGGCTTGAGCACTGACAACGTTGAGACGAATTCTGAAGAAGGTTCCACTAACTTCAACGACGACACCAGAAATTATGATCATCAAAACCGTAATAATACCCACCGAAAACTTACCAGAGATAATTGCAATTATGATGATGTATACCAAATGAGTAACCATAGTCATTCCCCTAGAATACGGGACGACGAATCGTCTAGTAATTCGCCAAGTCTAAGGAAAAATAGCAAGACACGAATGCCTAGAACAAATCCCATGCTCTCCTATTCTACAAATCAAAACCAACTCAATCTGAAGCATTTTGGTCAAAGAGGAGAATCACTTTACGAAAGTAAACCTCATCATATTTCCACAGATTCCGGTTATGTTATGGGAAGATCCGAGTCTAATGTGGAAGAAGTAAATAAAGAAATGTATAAATTACAGATTTCACGCAGTCAGAAGGCTTTGTATAACATGGAAAATGCAAAAAGTTCTCCAGAGAAGTACACCATGTCGGAAAATTCTAATCCTGAGTCAAATTATCCCCTAGATCGAACATTTTCTGGGGCGAAAATTTCAAGTAGTAGACTCAATGAAGATTTAGAGAGGCACCAAGAGTATTATGGAGGTCGGGAAAGGAGGGAATCACCTCAGGCTGCATTTAATAGAGAGTCACAGTCAAGTGAAGCAAGTGAAAGAGCTGTGGTACGAAGTGAACGTGAGACCAATACGAGAGATAAACTCCAGAGGCGATTAAGTCTGGAGTCTGCAAGGGAACTCACTGATAGTTCTGATGAGATGGAAGATACATTATACAGTACGACGGGTAGAAGACGAGTTTCCAAGCATCACAGAACTATCGAGCAGGTTAGCTTAATTATTTATTAATAAGTATAAGTAACTAGTAAAGACAGGTTAAGTAATCTACCCAAATAGAATCGTTAGGCAATAAATTATACTTTGAGTCTGTAGAGCTTTTGATCTCCACTTATATATATGTAATAAGTCAGACTGCTGTAAAATATTTTTTCCTAAAAATACATCCTGTTTTGATGTGATGGAAATAGTTTCTTCCTTGTATTTCATTTTAATTGTTTTCTATTTTAGTATGAACGAGAAATCGAGAGGCTAAAGTGTTCAGTAGAGTTACTACGTGGTCGGCTACCAACAGAACCTGGACAGGACCATACCGACGCCAAAATGAAGGCTATTATTACAAGGTAAACTCTTAAATATGTACTATAAACTATTATTTTTATCACGATTCCGTACCCAATGGTTTAAACGGAACTCTTTTACTAAGTCTCCGTCTATCTGTCTGTCTCATGAAGTGTGACAGTTAGACAGTTTAAATTTTCACTGACATTAGGAATATGATACGAACATATGAATATAAATATACATAAATCTATTCCCAGATTAATCTGCGTGGAAGAAGAGTTACGTCGCGAGCAGCGCAAGATGGCCGCCGCACTATCGCACAAGCAACGAGTGATCGAAGCTCAGGAACATCGTATAGCGGCATTAGACGAAGCCAATACAAGGCTGCTGTCAGCCCTCGTTCATTTACAGCAGAGAGCTCCAGCGCCATCTACCAACTCTACAACTCACTCCCAACATTCTCATCAAGAGTTGCAGATTTAAATAAAGAACTTAGTCCTAGACTATTTGAACAAAAATGAGTGTAACGTAAAAACTTGAAATCGGACAGGTTCTAAAGGAACTGGGATTAGAAGTAGTAAAATCTTATTTGGGAATGATGAAATGTATAGATATCCTAGGTGTTCTAGGAACCTCTATTACGAGCAGAACTGTTTTACGCATTTGAACATACATCAGGTAAATGTGGCCTTATATCGTTGGATCTCGATTACTTAGAGATTTAATAAACGAAATATAACAATTTAAGCTTCAAGTGGCAATATTTCACATTTAAGCTAACTTTTTGATATTTAACATGGGCACGACTAGTCCTTTTCAATAAAAACAGAATTCTAAATTAAAAGTAAAAGACTTCATGGTCTCAACAGTATTTAAAAATTTAAAAAGATAAATTTCTAACAACATTAGACAAAACCAATATTATTATGAGTGTAACAATTTGAAATGCTCTAGCAAATGTAAATAATATTTTCAGCGCTCTCTTAAAGTGAAATCTATTTTTTTAAAGTCTAAAGCACAAACTTTTTACTCTGCTAATGTTAATTGAATAAGTTGAGATATTTGTCTTATTGATTCGACTAATTTTCATATTTCATGCACAATTGTAAAGATAATGACAACCTTTACATACAATTTTTCTATTTAATGCATTTTATCCTGTATCTCTTAATGCAATATTACAGTTACTTTATTATTGAATAAATATTTATTTTAACGTTCTTTCACATACTTGTATTTAAATACACATTTGTTCGTTTTGCCATTTATTTTTAACTTTGTTATTATTGTTTCCTTAGTTTTAAAGGTGATGCTTTAAGTGACATTAACTTTTTTTTTTAATTTCTCGGTTAAATCTGGATTTGACGTTCGCTACATGTTTTTCTGTAATGATACCAAAGACGATTGAATATCCCTTAGTGCAGTTGTAGTTAACTACAAATATACTACAGCCACCACTAGTTTGTATTAAAATGAAACCTTATAGATTTTATAAAAATAATAATTATATAAGACTTGTATAATAAATATTTTAAGGTACTATTTTTAAGTGAAATGCGGAACAGTCAAGATTCAAATATTTGGTGACGACGTAGTCCAAATTGTAAGAAACATCTTAAAACACTCGAAAACTTAGTTTGCTCAATTGTTAAAAGAATGTTATAACACTGCATTAGTGACCAACGATCCAACATTCAAATGCTGTCCCAACTTATAATAAATTATTATACTAGAAAATATGGATTCAGTAGCTGCCCTCTCTTTACATGTAGCTGATTGGATGTTTTTTTTTTAATCAATGACCGTGTTATTTTGATTTTGTAGTATAAATGGATTTAAGCACTCACGATACGAATACTGGCTATCTTTTTGATATTACTTTTTGTAATATCGGGAGTTTTGTGTCTATGTTACAATTTTTTTTTTTAAAGTATAACGATAGACAATTATGCAGTTTTATATCTAATACGTATTGTCTGTACATTTTATTAAAGATATCGCTACACAAGTAAAATGGAACGATATAATAAAATCTTAAAGCCGAATGCTAAGTGTCTATTAATCTATTCTGATGTTTCTGACTAATATGTCATCAAATATTTGAAGTTAAATGTATGAAGTAAAGAAATATTTTTATTACCTGTGGAGTATTATACGGATTAACCGTAATAGTTATTGTATTATCAAGTTGTTAACAACTCATCGGTGATCATTTGTTGAACAAAACGAAAACTTTAAATTGGGATAATCACAAATTTATATAACAATACAGTCGTATTTCAGTGGATCTAATTTTAAGCCATAAATTTATGTAAATATACCCGATTAGGTATATTTTGTTATTCTTATCACATTAAATTATGGATTACGTATTTCTGAGTTTTATTTAAAATCATCAATTTATTATGTTACGGACAAAGTTCGAAACAGGCAATTGAACGTTAAAATGGTTTACAGCGTGAGTAAGAGTTGTGATAACTGCAAAATATTCTCATAGCGAACTCGTGTTATGACTCTAATGAAAACGCTTGCGACCCGTTATGGTAATTATAAAAAGACCATATAACGAAATACGTGTCGTAGCTGACGTAATATTGACCTCCGTAGCCGAGTGGTTCGCACGCCGGTTTCAAGGTGTCGCCATCTCTGAGGTCCCGGGTTCGATTCCCGGTTGGGTTAATGTAGAAAATGAACTTTTCTTTATTATCTCGGGTCTGGGTGTTGCGGTACCTTCGTTGTCGTAGATACTCCATAATACGGGGCCTTTAGCTACTCATCTTGGAATCTGAGCAAAGTATGTGGTGTTGTTATATATTTATTTTATTTATAATATTCGACCTCAACGCGTTGTGGCAATGAAGAAAAGTCTTAATGAAGGCGGTTTCGGTCTTTGAGTGTAACATATACATAAAACTACAAATAAAAAGTTCTATGAAGGAATAAAGTTTTTTTTTTAAGAAATAAATTCACAGTATATTTTCCTTCACTCTTGTGGTTCTATACCAGCTGGGATACAACAATATCGTTTTTTAGCTATGGTCATTTTGCGTTCTGTAGTTTCCGTCGAGCAATATGGATGCATAAGTAGTAAATCTTCGAGGCGTGCATACATATACGAAAAGTATATCTCTCTAAACTTTTTGTCTGGCATTTCCGCTTGAAACATTGTAGACCACATCAAGTTGTTCACTTTAGCCAAAGATCTGAATAAAGCTAGCCTATATTGATTAGTGAACTTCCTGAACTTTTCATTTAAATTCTGCTTATGAACCCAAGTCGTGTGTCCAGCGTAAGCAGGGTCCACAGGTGGCGCCACATGACCGTAACCTTGCATTGCCATTGTCAGGAGCATTTGCCAATACATATTACTCTTTCGCAACATTTCAGTCTTTTGTTTTTCCTTGAATGAACCGTATATTCGTCGTCGCATCCATTCTTTTAACTCGGGCACCAGATGAATATCTGGAAGGCGCGCTGCAACGTTCACACGTCTCATCAATCTGAGTGCGCATTTCAAATAGTCTTCAGGCTTGGGGTTCTGACCCAAACAGGTGGTAGACGATCGCTTTTTCTTCTTTTTGTCTTTCTTGTCTATTAAAGTGCCGTCGTCTACGCGTAACAAACTTTCTGTGTCCCAAATTCTTTTGAACTCCTTATCGACGTGAAGATGTTTCGGATCTATATTGTATATATTGTCATAATTAAACTGGTAAGGCATATGTTTTGTTGGTTTCTGGAAAAATGGCAGCTCCTCAGGTAGAAAATTTCCTTCATTGCCGTAATCGTAATAATGTCTACAATAGCATCTACTGTTTTTCAAATATTCAAACACTTTGGTTTGCCATTTCTTTGCGCAATCACAAGGATCAGGTTTCGGTGGTGGCGGTAGCGCACGGAAACCACAGTGCACGTTAACGTATTGGCCGTCCAGACATCTGTATCCACCATGTATTAGGTCACCGAGCGGAGGTAATATAAATACGCTTCCTAGAACAAACACTGTTTTCCCTTGTACCTCGCAAACGCCGTTTATGACATATTGTGAATTCCATAGGCCCGTCTTTGGTGCTTTAGGTTTTCTTTTCCTTGTAGACTTCTTTCGTCTAGTAACGCTAATACCATATGTTTTCTTCACTTCTGTGACACACAGTTTTGATCCTCGTATCCTACGTTGACTGCTACGTGTCACTGCTTTGACAGCAATGTTACTGGAGTAAGGTTCGATAGTCATAATACCAGCGAGTTTTTCGCAATAGGAAATTGGTATCCTTTTTTTAGGAGGGGGCGGTGGAGGTGGTGGTGGTGGGGGTTTTGGTATCGGCGGTTCCTCTTCATATGGTTCGTTCAGTTCGTCCAAATTAGGTAAAGGTGCAGGCTTGGATTTCTTCGGTCGTGGTGGTTCATATAACACTGCAACCAATTTCTGTAAATACGGAGATGCTAGTGGTGGCTCAGGTTTATGTTTCGGTTTTGCTGGAGGCGGTTTTTCTGGTTGATCCGGGCTAAACCTTTTTTTCAGCAATTCAATCAAGTTACTCAATCCTAAATACAATATGGCCGATAACATGAGTTTAGCGTTTAAATCATAAGAAGCACGTTTGCCGTCAATGGGATGTCCATAAGTCATAGCGAACAGCTGAGAAAGCATTACTTTGGGATCATCTCTGCCTAAATATAAGCAATTCATAAGATCTATGTTATTGGGTCGTGGGTATAAACCTAGCCGCCTCATCACTACTGCTGACCGGACAGGTCTACCTTCCAATAAATCTTGATAAATTGAAAACTCCAGGGTGTCTAAAGCTTCTCTTTGTGGCTCACTAAGTGCATGATACCATATCGGACCAACGCTTCTCTTGACACTGTTGAAAACTTTTTTGAAATTCTTTTTACGGTATTCCTTTAACTCTTGCATAAACACTTGGCGTTCGCGCATTTTCCCCGCATATACAATTTGCATGCGGCGCAGATCGCGCTCCTCATGGCTAGTCTCCGGGCCATAGTTTTGTCCCATATTTCTTGACTATTTATAAAACTCATAAAGTTTCGAATCGTTTATAATAGTAAAATTCTCTCAAACTATATTTATTAAATAGTCAAACATGTAATTTAGAAAAAAAATATATATTTACTTTGGTAGCAAATTAAAATGTCAATATGAACTTTTTCTTCTTCTGTTGGCGTGACACAATCAGTATATCAAAAAAGGTTTGTTTCTTTATATTTTGAATAATAGAAAAGTCATGATCTATGGAAAAAAATAATGTGCATTAAAGTTAAAGAGTAATTAAACAAAGCGAAATATATATAATCATTTATATCATTTATTATTATGAACTATATCTGCTTATACCTAATACAATAATTATTTAAAAAAAAGAATTATATCATTGCATTACATACAGTTCACTATTGTTTGACTACTACTGCCATCTGTTGTTGAGTGGCTGACTCTTCGTAACAAAGTTGTGATTTTATATTTGAGTGCTTAAATTTCAAAGAAGGACCTGTAAAGGTAATGTATACCAAATACTATTTTATTTATTACTATTATATAATAATAAAAAAGGATTATTGTATAAGTGTAAGTGCTATTAAAGTGGCAGTCACTCTACCTTCTGATTTTTCTTCCCCACAGGTTTCATAAGTTATATTGTATTTATATTGTAACATCTTTTAAATACTATGGAACATAATGAAATATTGAATATTTATCCATAAGGCACTCGGTGCTACAGTGGTTAACGCGTTCGTCCATGGTACGAATGTTAAGTAACTTTAACATTCGTAATACTATATTATCTTTCTTACATTTTTCCCGCCTGCATATGTAGTCGTCCAATCCGCACTGAGCCGGTGTGGCCCATTTTACCTGTTCGATTCCATCTATAGAGGAAACCTGGTATATATACTTAAAAACAATCAAAGGAGAATCATCTGATTAGAAAACCTTATTAGGTAAGTACCGTAAAATGCTTTTGGAAGATCATAAGATTTTATCTCAAAAATAAATATAAGGTACCTAAGTAACAATAGATTAATTAATTTTCTGATGAGCCGTACATTTATGTCCAAAATAACAGTTTGAAAATGGCTTATCTGCACGCTTCGCATAATTCTGCCAATGTCAAGTGATTAAATTAGTTAAATTATAAAAAATGAATTTCTACATGAAAATGAAATGAATGAAAGATGATTAATCATGTAGATAAAAAAACAATCATATTTGGTTTGGACAAATCAGCCAGATTGACCGATCAGCTGACGAAACTCGGCCGGTCGTAGACCTAAGGCAAAAGGTGAACGCCTCATGTCATGTGAATCAATCACATCTCTCATTCATACGCACATGAATCTATCTTAATAGATTATAGTCAACTCTTCCGGAAAACAGCACTCTGCGAAATGCTAAACGGTACATGCACAAACATGAATGAAAGCTTACTTTGTTAAGAACGAATGCACAATTTAAACAAATGTTTATTTCATACTAGCGGCTGGTCTCTGTTTGATACTGTTGCAGTTCACTAATATAATCTATTCCTAAGTAAAATATTAATATTATATGATTTACAAAGGATTAAAGTTTTTTTTTCTTAACACCGTAAATATCTCTTTTCTTTGACAGGAAAACGAAAACTTACCGTACAAGCGCCAAAAAAAAATCATTAAAATTAAAAACCTAACGCTGAAACGATAAACGAAAATTTCTGATATACCTAATACAAGTATAACTCAATATCGTTTAAATGTCGCCATTAGCATGCTATACAGTTTTTATACCTATTAATAATAAAAAAAAAAAATGTATAAAAATGTTATTTTGGTGATATGTTTTGTTTTAAAAATTACAGATAGGCTTATAAAATATTCAAGCTTTAATATATTTGGTAAATTCAGATATAGAATAGACAATGTCTCAGAAATTTATACGATCGTGATAAAATTAAATATAATAAATTATTTCTTAACAGCATAGAATTATTAACACCATGTGTGTACCTAAATAAAGTGATTCATATCAGAGTTCAAGTAGTGTCAATGACAAGGCGATGCTCGCCGAAACCCAGCGCATTCTTTAGTTATATGATTCATTCACTCAATTAATTCACTTGTAAAGTATTAATATACTTAATAGAGTATTTATAGAACAATAATTCACCTATGAATTTATTGTTCCCTAAATGTAAATTATAATTTTTGATCACTTCCATACTGTCACACCAGCTGTTCAGTTCCGTAATTCTCAATACCTGATTGCTCTGTCAAAATGAAGGCTTGAATAATCTGTTATTCTGACAGATTAACATTGAGCAGTTCAATCAGTTTAGGTTTGGATTGGACATACCAGAGTTATGCCCATTCTCACTAAACTTAGAAGGCGCCTAAATCTGACACCTAAATATTTGTGCATTGTCATAGGTGAATATACATTTCACTAACGACAATGAGCCACTTAACGATTTTAGGTAACGCATAAAGTTAGGACATGCATTGTGCAACGCCTAGCGCTCGGAATTTGAGTAATCTGACATATATTTAAACCCATTTTCACTAACCTAGAACAAGGCATAGGTTAACTAGGAAATGCCTAATATTACGAATCGCCTAAGCAGATTAGTTTAATTTTAAATAAATATTTTTTCTTTTATCTCTTGACATATTTATGACCTATTGACCTATACGTAAATGCCTAGCGCAAGGCGCCACATAACAAATATCGTAACTTAAGACATTGCTTAATTTCGTTAGGTGGTTCCTAGACAAAGGTGAAATGCATTTTTACATTAGGCGAATCCTAAATTTAGAGTAAACGGGCATTTAGAGTCAAAGGAAAAATCAATTTATAAGTTGGATCTTTCGGTCTTTTTATAAATGGACGGTGAAGACTTGGGTGCTCACGTAAATACAAGACAAAAAGAAGAGGAACTGAAGCATGCAAAGTTATAGACAAACGTTGCTAAGCATGTGCTTGATAAGGCGTTATTTAACGGTACACGTTTGGTGAATTGACAAATCTGCTTAATATTAAGTGATTTCTGGTTAAGCGCTGTCTTGTTCTAGGTTATTGAAAACGGGAATAAGTATCTTGGGTCAACAAATTTCCTTTAAGCATTTATCGTGTAAAATTCACAAAATATTACTTTTTCACCCGTCGTTCTATCATAATAAGTCAGTTACACTGGTCGATGATGTACTCGTGCGGGTTGCGACGATTTTTGTGGCTAGCTGACCAATCAGGATTGCTTAAGGATTGGACTGGCCAGATTGTTTAGATGGAACTTGCTCTGTCAGCCATTTTAACAGCCCATTCGAGGCTTCAGTCACGGGATTCCTTGCTAGGGTTGCTCAGAAAAAGTGTTATTGACATTCATTACGTTTTCCATACGAGCTCTTCTAATTTTACGGTTTCTGATATCACCCGGAAAGATATATAAGTGCACACGAACTACGCAGTCCGTTTGCATACTTTTATAGTTGTCGTGTGAATACACTATAAACGTGGTTCCGGAAATTACTCTCCGTACACATAATAAACCCATTTAATTTTCGCACTTTTCATAATAACACTAAAGATTAGAACTAACCATGGGATTAACACGAAAAGTGAATAGAAATTGGAATTTTCTTAGCCATACTTAACTAATTTAAAATAGTTCGTAAATTTGCTCATCGTGCTGTATCAATACATAATATAAAACAAAGTAGCTTTCCGTCTGTGTCCTTATGTTTGATTACAACTTTAAATCTGTGTTTTTTTTTCTTGATAAAATCAAAATCAAAATTATTTATTCAGTCTAGGCTGTTACAAGCACTTGTGAAAGTCGAGAGCTACGCCATCAGTTCGTAAATCTACGGCGGGAGACCTTGTACCGAGAAAATCCGGCAAGAAACTCGGCAAGGGATGCTTTTTTCTCCCTATTTTATTTCATACAAAGCGTCAAGATTGAAAAATGACTTCATTCAAATATGAAGTCACTTTCCATAGATAGGATAGGATAGTTTCGATAGATAGGATGGTTTTAAAAAAAGGTGTTTTTATGTGTAATACAGAACCACTCAGGCGAAGCCACAGTAAGCTAGTATAAATGTGAGAAAAAAATTGGATGATAGCAACTTAGACTATATAATAATCTAAGGAGGTAGGTATACCTACCAAAACATAATACATATGAGAAAAAATAAAAACAGTTTAAATGAAGAGGAAAGTTTTGATTATTTTTTTATTTGCATTGAATAGATATCGAAATCCAATTTAAAAAATTCTTTCACCTATGGGAGTTTAACTAGTGGGTAAAATCGCGAGAAAACAGTAAAGTTTTTTTATAATATCGTTGCAATCGTATATACAAGAACTTTTGATGTTAAACGCTGTGTAGTTAGCTATCACTGAATCTATTTATTTGCAGCTTATTTTCGAGCATTTGGAATTTTGCATTAATTCGCTAACGTGAGATGCGTATCACAGCTAACAGTTGAGGCCCCAGCCAACCTCGTGAACATTCACTTTCCTCAAGGTAGGAAGTAACCGCGCACTTTCACTCTATTGAAGATCAGCGTACAGCCCGCGACGCCCGCGGCAACCATTGTCTGTTGATGTGTTAGCAATTTTGTCATTCATTACGGCCTATTTGGTGAGAAGATCTCGGTTTCAATGGCGTTTCCGTCCAGTGATGGGTACCTAGTCATTCTTCTTATAATTTTTCTAAGTAGAATGCAATCATCTAGTACCATTATTCTTTTTATAATTTTTGTAATTATATTGCAATTATCGTTGGAAATGCTTTACTAGTGTCCGTGATAATTTTATAGATAGCTATAGATCTTATTAAAATATTATACTTCCATAAAACCATATCAGTGAGTTAAAAATCGGGTTGCATTTAAGTTATTCCATTCAAATTATTCAGGAAAAATATTAAAAGAAAAAATACAATTTCCAATTACAAACGTTTTTAACTGTTTTCTCTTAGTTTTAACAAATATGCATTATTCATATTAATATTAAAAAGG